CTTGGAGAGCGCCCGGCGCCGCCAAAGAAATTGCACGCGAACCACTGACAACTGCAATGGGATTGCGGTTAACTGAAGGATTTCCGACAAATGTCTGTGGGAAAATACATATAAAATAGACATATATATGTAGTCATGTATAATATATATAATATATGTAGTTCAACTCTGTCACGACATCCGATTGCTGTTCGTGATCTTTAATAAAACATTTTTGCAATTCCTACAAATTGCTAAACTTTAACCGGGTCTGCTCCATAAATTCTAGAAATATATATAATATATGTGATACAAAATAGAAGCAAATAAACACTCAATTCTATATTTGTTTTACTCTATTTTTTAATTCAATAAAAACCAATAAATGTATTTTTACGAATGTTTCCGTTCCATTTTGCTTGAATTTATGAAGCCCGTTTGAATAAATGAGTCAAAATGCCTTTCAGGCAGCTCTCGAACTGCCTCATAAAATGTTTGCAGGGTATATTAGTTGTATAAAAATATATGAGCCAACTAAGAAGACAACTATTTAAATTTCAAAGCAGGGTATCGCGCTACACATACACTATCTGTGCTTTAACAATATTTACAATATAAAATCATACTAAACAAATTCTTGGAATTCAACTCAGTTTTAACATTTATTATTTACAATTAATCAAATAAGTGTTTACCCTTCTTTAAATAAAGTTAGGGTATATTGAAAAAAAAACAATTCTTAGGCAAACAATAAATATAAATAAAGAAAACAGGGTATCTCGTCACACATATGCTTTCAAATCTATAAACTATTTAAATATAGGGATGTCAAAAAAAATTCAGTCAGAATTCTTTCTTAACTTTCTTTTAGCATTATTATTAACACTTAAAGAAAACCCGTGTGCCCCAATTTCACTAAACAGGGTGTCTCTACACAGCTATACTTTCAACCATTGACCTCATTTACTAACTAAAATTTCAACAAACGAATTCTTTCTGTTGACACAATTGTCAACAATTAATTCCAACAAAATGCATATGCCCTACACAACATACAGCTAGGGTATAGTGCAGCTGAAACTTCATTCCGTTCAAAATGTTCAACGTTTAATTATTATTAATAAGTACTCAGAGCTACAGAAAGAATAGCAATATTTTGTAACTTGCAGCATTGTCTTCCTCTTCTTCTTCTTCTTCTTCTTCCTTCATTGCTTCTTGCTGCAACTGATTAAAGTGGCAAAAATGGCAGTTAAAGTTGCGAGTTATAAGTCGAAAACTGATTTTACGCTTCGCAACTTTTAATGGCAATCAGCGGGTGCTGGGCCAGGGCGGAGGGGGCGTGGTGTGGCACGGCTGAGGCGAGTGAGGATTTTTGATGCCAACATCAACGGCCCAACGGCACTTCGGCATCAAAATGTGCGCATAATGTGGCTCTTTAATGGATTCCATTGCATACATTTTGGGCGCGCGCAGGCTGCAGCAGCCGCCAGTCGAAAAAAAGTGAAAGAAGCAAAAACAACAACGCCAACAACAACAACAATTTATGCAACGCCCTCTGAAAAATGGCATCTCATGCAAATTGCCAACGCGTTGCGTGCGATTTGTGGCGCCCCACGCTGCGGCAGCATTGCGGCATGTTGGCCAGTTTAATTTATGAAGGCGTCAAGGGGCGCACCGACAGATGGGCTGGCAACATGGGGCATACAACTCCGTTGTGTGTTGTTTTCATTTTGCTAAAAATTAGTTCGCAATTTGAGAAGCTACTGCAAACGGTTGGCTAATCGACAAAATTGAGATAAATTTGCGGATAATTAACTAGGAAAGTACCGCCAGACGGTGGAGCTAGCTATCGCTAGGGGCTGGGTTGACTCGATTATTGAAGTTATTTTGGACATTCGTTCAAATTGATGCGAATATATATAGCAATAGATAAACCTAGCTAGATTCAACTATTTCAATTTAATTAAAGGTTTTCCTTTATAAGTTTAAAATATTCATTTTAACAGTATTTAGAAATATAGCAGCTTCAGATAAATATATAGGTATAGGTATATACAGGTAAATATATATTTAAATTTTCTGGAATTTAGCCTCAAAAATCCCCTTCCAATATCAAATAATATATTTAAATCAGTCAACTTATAACTCACATATAAAATTTTTTATTAGAAATGCATGTTCAATTTTGACTTAATCAAATTTTAATGTAATATTAGTAGAGTTAGCCACAGAATTCTCGCAACACTTCTCAATTTAATTATTCAATTTGGCTGGGATATCAATGAAAGCTCATGCTCCACAGTGAAAGCCTTGCACAGCGGAACAAGTGTGACAGGCAAGCATATTATAGAAAACCCTCTGGCAGGATAATGAAAATTTATAGCTCGGGTTTTGGTAGGAGCTCACAGAACCGAACGACGTCGCGCCCGCGAACGACTGCAGCAAATCTGTCAAACAATTGGCACAAGCCGGGCTACAATTAAAACTAATTATATGAAAGCGTGCGTGGAAGTGTCGAGTGAAACCATTTTCAAATAAATGTCAAAGTGTTAGAATTTTCATAAAGTGCTGTTGCCAACTTTTCCAGCTGTCTGGGGGATCAAGCATACAAGTAACTTTTCTAATACAAAAGGCAAACAGTGTTGCGCTGCAATTATTTTGTGACACTCAACAAATGAACTAGTTCGCAATAAATATTAGGTTATGGTCAGCGGAATACCTACGCGACTGCTTAAATGCAAGACACTGACAGACTAAATCATATATAGTGGTCTCTTTCTGTCTTGTACGTCTAGTCGACGTACGCTCACGCCATCTCCACTGCTTGCTTGCTCCGCCAGCTAACTGAGCAGAGTCCGTGGATATTAATTTTCGCTCTCCCGCTCACATGATCCAAAATGTGTGGCCATTTTTACTAGCTCTCTCATTCTTACAGTCCACAATGCTCGCCTTCTGGGAAGCGCAGACCAATACTAATAAAGTCATACATATACATGCATACATTATCCAATTAACAGAATAATCCCTCTCTGTTAAAGTGCGGATAACTGACACACACGCACATTAAGTATGAACTGCCTTTATTTTCCTTAATATTTGCTAGACAAATATAAGAAATATTTAAAAAATGTATTGATCTAGTTTTATTATATTTTCCGCAATTAATATTATAATAATTAATATTATAATAATAATATAATAATTAAAATTAGCGTAACAACATATTTACAATTTCACAAATCTTTTCTTTTTTCTTTCTGTTTTTTACTTTTTCACAAATCACAACACCCACAAGCAGCCCCGATCAACAGCATGCGCCTTTGATAAGCCGGCCTTTTATCTTATACAAAAACAGCAACAAACAGCAAAGGATACAATACTTATAAATACGTACTCATGCATATGTATACCATCGCTCTCACACCAGTTGACCATGCATACGTACGCTCGACTGCATGGGAAACTAAGATAACAGGATCAAAGTATTACACAGCGGGAATAAGCATGAGTTGGCACTTGCTCTTTAATCTCTAGCTTTAAAACAGAATTGAAAGCATAAGGGCGTTGCGGAAAGCAAATAAGTTATCTGTCATGCTCACAACATCCGCTCAAAACAGCAGCAACATATGCAGGGAGAGTTAGCATGAAATATTACACACTTTTGTACATATATACAATCACAAGTATTTTACAGTTTCACATTGGAATTTGAAAATTTTATTTCACTTTAAGCATTTTAAGTCTGAAAGCTTTTTATTGCAAGCTATGTTAACTTTGAATATATGATTGAAAACTAATTTAATTGCCACAATTATTGCGCAACGCTATGTTTTACTCGTAGCTATTTCTTAGCAATTAAAAGTTGAACCAGTTCATTCAACACAATTATTGCGCAGCACTGACAAACATCTTATGTGATTTCATAAGTTTTTGCGCTCAACGCATTTTCTAAATGAAATTAATGCAAATGCGACGCGACGCGACGGTCCCTGAAAATGCCAAACGGAAGGCGCGAATTTCACACAACCATTGCCTTGTGTATGTGTGTGCGTGTGTGTGAATAATGTGTTTATTTTAGCACTTTTTGTGCAAGTTTTCGTCTGGCTGAGACTTTTTGTTTGCGAGCCGGAAATTTAACCCATGTGTACAAAACTATGCCGCAATTTTATTGTGCGAAAATAATGTGACAAATGTTTATATATGCTATATATGTGTGTGTGAGAGAGTGTGCGTGAGCTTCTGTGTGCCGGATAAACTTGTTGACCTTTTACGCAATTATGTTTTATACGAAAAGAAAGCTTTGTGCTTTGCTTAAGAATTTTAATTATTTCTAAAATTAAATAAAATTATTTAAATGCAGGCAAAATAATAATAGAAAAATATAATTTGTTTGTTATATAATTTGTTATTTATAAAACTAGATTCAAATGCTGAACATTTTTTATTTACAGGATAAATGTCATGTCAGCCACTTCATTGCGCCGACACTCACAACCTTTATGCACGACATCGATTATCAGACTGACTCAGCCAATGCCGCGGTACCAGTGATCGTCGTAATCCGACACACACATACCAATGCACATATTGAGACGCGCAACTGAAGTAGGCAAGTTCCACTTATCTCTCTCTCTCTCTCTCTCACTCTTGAGCGCATTACATAGGCTATGCAAGTCAGAGGTAAAGAGAGCGCTCTGACAGGCTAATACAAATGAACAGCTGAAAAAAGAGAATACGTAAGCGACTGAAATGATGAATTATGTTGCCTTATATTGCATAGTTACGTTCAAATAACTAAATAAAAAATTAATAAATTTTATCTTCCTTTTTCTCGCTCTTGATTTCATAAACGCTCATAGCTTATATAGCTATATAAATTAACTCCATATAAATCAGACTCGAATCGAGTGAAACAAATCAAAGTAAACTTTAAATTCTTATATTTACAGATAGGTTTCACTCAAACTTCAGTTCATATTACATATTATTATGTGTATGAAATATATATTTTATAGAATTTTTAAAATTCACAGAGGATTTTTATATTTTTGAAGTATTCGTTAAGAGCTCCATATTTATTTTTCAATGTTTCGAGGTCAGTATGACAATGATGTCACTGTGTGGAGTCCGCAAGGTCGGCTCTTTCAAGTGGAGTACGCCATGGAGGCAGTGGGCCTCGGCACAGCGTGTGTTGGGCTGAAATCTCAAGAATTGGCCGTTGTGGTTGGTCTCTATAAGCCAGAGAATCAGACGGGCTTAAGTCAGCCGAAGATCATACCGATCGACAGGCACGTGGGCATTTGTATAGCGGGCATTACGGCCGATGCTCGAGTTTTGGGAAAATATCTACGCACCGAGTGCCTGACCTATAGGCATTCGTATAACGCGCCCTATCCGATCAGCCGTCTGGTTTGGAATCTGGGAAACAAAATGCAGATAAGTACACAGCGTTACGATCGCCGGCCCCATGGAGTGGGCCTTCTGCTAGCTGCCTATGATAAGAATGGCAGTCACATCTATCAGGTGATGCCATCGGCAAATGTCTTCAATTGCAAGGCGATGGCTATTGGGAATCGGTCGCAAGGCGCCCACACCTATTTGATGAAGCATGCGGACACATTTCCGTACTGCACCAATGATGAATTGATCTGCCATGGCATCCAGGCGATTAGCTATGCGGCTTCGATTGATGAGCCATTGAAATTGAGCATCGGCATTGTTGGAAAGGATCAGCCCTTTAAGATACTTAGTAATGCAGAAAGTCTTTCGTACCAGAGGACCTGCAAGCCACCTGATGATGCCCGTAATCATGATATGTCCTGGTATCCGGAGGCTCTTAAGGAATTCGAATTCACTGAAAATGATGATGCAGGTCCCTCGGATCAGGGAAATGCTCCGACTTCCCAACCTTCGCATAGTGATGTGACGCCAGTGACATCTGGTAATCAAATCAACGATAACAAATCCAGTTAAGCTTCATGTTTTTGTGCACTTAGTAATAAAGTTTTCAAATTTTGCGTTTAAAATAAAAGAATTTACTAATCCATAGCAGCCAAATTCGGATAAAAAAGAAAATGAATGTATGTGCGTAAATGTATGCTGTACAAGGCCCGTTTGTCCGAAGAGCGCACATTGCGACTGACATCCACTCCTAGCAGAGAGTAATTGTATTGCACTAGCAGAGCGCATTTATCCAGAGCTCACCTAATGTCTGCTCTTGATCTAATGACACAAGCAGATAGCGATTGCTGTATAAGTGTGGTGGTGTGCGCAAAAGCTATCCGCGTTATCCAAAGAGAGCACGGATAATGCACGGCACATTGCACTTGTGGCAGTATATGTGAGATTCAATTTTGCAAGCAAAAGCAAGAATTAATGGACTGTACTTTATAAAGTTAAATTAAACTATTTTCGTAAGATGAAATGCATTTTATATTTCACTAAAATAATGGCAACCTTTATGAGACAAGAAAAATTCTAAAATAAAAAAGTTTTTATTATGCAAAAACTTAATTCTCTACTTAAAGCATATAAGAAAACTAAAAGTACTTTAAAAAGTATTTTCTAATAAAATGTCGCTTTAATCCAGGCTTTTTAGAGAAAACACATTTTGCTATTTTCGGTTCTGGCTAAACATGTTAGCTATAAAACCGCTAAAACTTAAATTTTATTTAGCCATTTAATGGGCCAATTAAAATGTCTGCCCGCGTTTGAATAAACACATTTAGAGCAGAATCTGCGAAAAACTTTTGAAACGCCAATGGCAGACCGGCAGCCACGCCCACGCACGCCCACAACTCTGTGAAATGAGCTTTAAAGCATATGGGTTAATAAAAGTTGAACAAAGTGTTTAAGGCAGCCAAATGGGTAATTTGAGAGGGACATTTGTGGGGGGCAGACAGCAAGCAGCAGACAGCAGCAGAGAAATGTCCTTGAGCACGCAAATTTACCGTAAAGTTGTTTTGGCTGTCTGTCAGTGTCTGTGTCCATGTCTACCCTGTCTGCCCATCACAAACTTAACCACAATATAGCAGCAGACAAGACGTTGAAGAAGAAGAGCACGACGAAGACAACAAAGTGAGCATTGCTGTATCGTTGTCTGCGCTATTAGCCAAATTTGGAGCTTGAGCTTTGCTCTTGTCTTGTATCAGATTGCTGATATAGTTATATGTGATATAAAGTGATGTTGTTTAATAAAACATTTATTGTCGTTAAACTTCACACTTTAAGCTCTAAGTCTTAATATTCTACAACATATATTCTTATTGCTTATCTCGTTAACACTTAAATCCCTTAGGCAGCCTGCAGCAAAATCATTGAGATAAACTTGATTTCTGAGCCACAATTCTAACTAACCCAACTGCCCACATGCCACGCCCGCCTATCGATTGCGTGTCAAACTTTGGGCCATCTCTGTCAGTTGCTTAATTCCACAGAGGCATTGCAGCGTTTGCGGCTTGTGAACTGTCTATGCAGTCGTTTTATATTTTGCTGTTTCTTTTTTTTGAAATATTTTTCTATTTTTGGTATACCCGTTCATGAAGTATAAAGAGAGTATATGGGTTTTGTGCAATGCCCGACTGTCCATATCATACTATACGCCCACAAAAGACGTGCTTAATATAATACAAATATCTAAAGTCTTAAGTAGTTACTACTCCTAAGATAACATCTAATGAGCACTTGGGGTCACGCCAAATCGGAAAGAACTATATCTTGCAGTTAGAACTTGGTCAAGTCCAGCAAACTCTGACTTGAGAGTGATCAAAAATTATAATAAATCGCAAAAAAACAAAAAGTTAACCCATACTTATGCACAGTTAACAGTGTTTGCAATGTGTCTGAGTATTACGCAGTCGATCACGCCCGACTGCACTGGTCCTACTTGTTTTCCCTTTTGCGCCAAAGAGAGCAATCAATTGACAGAGACAGTTCATATGTGAGCTGTCTACAAAAAATAAAGTTCAATATTTTGTAGCTTAGTTATTTGTGTGCTTCTCTTCTTAGTAAACTTTAATATAGCTTCAGATAACATGAAATGTGGAAATGCATTTTAGGTAAAAGAAAGTCGTATTTAATAAGAGACTTAAGAGAGGTTGAAAATATTGAATATCCTTTTGGTTCACGAAACATTGACTTTTGCAATAAGCTCATCAAATATTTGCACTTCACATATTTACTTTCCAAATAGCATAAGCAAATAGCAACGCAGTGCAGTTCATTCCAGCCGAGTTAAAGTATATATTATATATATGAGTAAGCCTCTTTGCTGCACGCTCGAAAATACCCTGTATTTGCAATTATAAGTGAGTTGATATGTCATAAATCTTAAATTTATAAATCAAATTCTCAATATTTTCAAGTTTAAATATTTGTAGTACCTAAATAGTAATAAATTGGAGTATATAGAAGGGTAGTAGTACTTAAATAGTAGCATATTATGTAGTATATAAAACGCAAGCAGAAATAATATATTTTATGCATTACAAATGGATTTTCATCTTCAACAATCTTTATAGGGTATTTGCACGCAGCTGCATCGTGCTGATTATATTTGTTTATTTATGGGCTGCCCATTTGGTCTGTTCTGCAGATTCATTTAACACAAAATTATGCTGCAGCATATGAATATTGAATGGGCCCGAAGGTACAAAGCGGCAGACAAAACGAAAAATAAACCAAAAACAAATAAGCATTTTTTAGGCTGGCCATATCGACTGCCTAATACTCGTTCACGATCAAAAGAATAATTAAAATATTTTGCTGAATCTCAAAAGCGAATCTGGATGTAACCTCACTAGCTCTACACCTTGCCTTTAATAAAGGCGAACACAAAACAATATACTCTTTTCACTTCGAGAACGATTATAAAAATAAAAAAAAAAAAACATTAAATGATACTCAATTTATATAGGAATTTACATAATATCAAAATACTTAATTGCGTATTCAAGTGAATATCAACTATAAATAAAGGAATGAATGAATTATGATGTAATTCAGACACTAAGAAATATTTATCTTAAATTTATCATCATATCTGCTTTGATAGACATTTCGAAAACTCAATAAAATCTTTTATAAATTCTAAAAAAAATTGACAGCTTATCGTGCTTAAAGAAATATTCACGTAATAATGCTTTAAAAGTCTACGGGAAAATTATATAGGACTAAAACAGTTAGTCCCATTAATTTCTTCTTCTTTCTGTTAAGGAAACCATTAAAAGTTAGCCAAGTGCCGTTAAAGCGCTTTGGCCAAGGCTCAATAAAAGCGACCAAAAAAAAAAGTTTAACATTTATAATTTAGTAGCTGCTGGATTAAACCGTAAGAAGGTGCGATAGCCAAGTACTTAAGCACTTCTCTTGGGTGTACTTCAGTTACATTTTATTAGCGGGGTTGGAAATTACAATTTAATAACTGCGACATTTTTTTGGGAAGACCGCAAAAGATGTCTTTTAAACTCTTGAATTTTGTAATGTATATTAAAGAGTTTCGAATGCGCCTGAATTAAATTAAATATAAAATACGAAAGAATATATGGATGCATTGAAGTTTTATTTGATATAAAATAATAAGTAAATATTTAGAAATATATTAACAATTTTAAAATAAGAAAAAATATTGAAACAAAAATGCAATTGAAATAAAATAAAAAAATTAAATATAAAACTGAATAGTTTAGATAAATATTTACAAAAAAAATATATATATAAATAAAAACTAATATCTATTTATAAGAGTAAATATATAAAAAACATAAAAAGAGATGGAAATTTAATTTAAAATAAAGACTTAAATAAATAATTATAAAATTTGCCTAAAGGATAAAAATCACATTTTACTTGAGAAAAATGTTGGCGCAAAAACTAAAAATCAATTTTTTAGACAAAGTTTAAAAAGGTATCTCAAACTTCTTTAAGATAATATTGCTTATGAAAATATTAAATACTGGAAAAAATGTTTTTAATGAAAACTTTCACAGCTGAAACTCATTTGAAATTTAAAACGCTTTCAATTTGAGTTCATTTAAAGTTTTTCTAGAATTCTGCCAGCAGGAACATTTAAGAAAAGTTTCAAAGCTAAAATACAAACGCTCAAAATGAGTTCACGTGCCGAAAACAATTTTGAGAAAATAAAGGTTCAAATATTTTCAATAGTTGACAGACAATTCAATTGAAATGTGAGCTAAAATATTGGGCAAGTGTTTTAACACTGCCATAGGTGGCAGCCGATAGGACCAGAAGTGAGCGAAGGGGGTTTGTCGGGTTTTTCGAGTGTGCAACTTAGCACTTGGCAACGAAGCCAAGCAACAGCAGCAGCAGCAGCAGTAGCACGTGCCACAAGAGGTTACAACTTGGCTCAAGTTGCAATTGCATCTACTTCTTACTCGTCTTCTTCAGCTTCCTTCAACACTTTCTTTTCCTTCACATGTGCAACATTTTGTCATGATTGTGCAAATTGTTATTTTCCGCACGAAATTCAATAAAAATGAAAGCAAAAGAAAAAATCAACTGAAAAATATTTCGGGCAATTTTTCTAGACGAGTTTTTTTTTTTTGGGATGGGGCGAAACTTTCTTCGTTGCGGCTTTACAAGTTTTTTAGGTTTTGTGTTATGATGTTTTAATTAAACAGTTTCCAAGCACTAGTTTCTTCGCTTACATATATTTGTCTTTGTTGCAAAAGTTTAGCCAAGTTATCCTGGAGTGGTCTGCTAGCCACTTGTACATATGTATGTAAATATTTGCAATTAAAATAATTGAGTTTTAAGTTGTCTTTATTAGACAAGTTTGGGCCAGCGCAGTAAATCATAAAACTTTTCCTCCGCAAACATTTTCGCAAGCAATTTATTTACTAATTTTGTGAGGGAAGGATCTTATGCTTATAGTAAGTTTATTTGATAAGACAAAAGGGGTTTACAATTGAATTTAAAGCGCATATACCAAGAGCAATTTGCAGTGCTACAAAGGCGCCAAATAGGCAATTATAAAATATATCTTTATTGTTTAATTAAAACAGATTTTGGAAATAAAATTCCATTGCAAATTAACATTTTTTATGTGAATAGCTAACTTTTCTCTACCACAAATTGAAATTCAAAAACGAAAATTCTTTCGTGTGTGCAAAAACCTCCAACAAACATATATATATATATATATATATATATATATGTATAGAATTGACTAGATTTTGGGCAATGTTTTTGCGCTACGCATACGCAATGTGGCTCACGAAATTACCACATAAAACACAACGCAACATCTAAATGTTGTATATTAACTTAAATATCTGTGCGCCGCACACATGGCGTATGCTTATTATTGTTAATATATATGTATTTATGTATGTGTATATATGTGATTTTTAAGCCCACAGAAAAACACATCAAAGCTTTCTGCCATGCATGTAAATTTGTTAAAAATAGCAGTAGATACAAATCGATTGATTTGCAGCAAGAAAAAGTTGAAAACGAGCAACCATAAGCCATAAACCCATGTTGTTTGCCAATACCAAAGTGAAAGTGCGCAGGCTGTGAGAAATGTATATCAAAGCAGTTTTATTTCCTCCCACACATTTATTTGTTGAATGCCCTGAGGATTTGGCATTTGTTGAATGGGTTTCTCTTTACATGAAAATGCTTTAAAAATCGGCCTGAAGGAATCGAACTTTGCTAGCAGAGCTATGGCATGAGATGCTTTTTTCTAAAACTAGATACATTTTCAAAATTAATAAAAAACTAATAAAGCTTAAAAAAAATTAGTTTCTTTTTTAATAATTAAAATGAATTAATAAAATTAATAATTATTAAATTAAAAACTATAAAAAATAGAAAAACAGAATATATAAATGACAAAAAGTTTTCTGTCTAGTGAAATTAAAATAAATTTAAATTATTAATGTAATAAAAATTAATTAAAACACTTAAAAAAATTAATAAAGTCATAAGAAATTTAAAAATAAATCAAAACAATTTCAATATTATTTATAATTTATATTATAGCTTAATATATTTAAGCTGTCAGCTCTTAGTAAATTAATGTATTGTGATACATTTCTTTACTGCGTAATTGTTTATTTATATATACTTTATATACATATATATATAGATACATATATATGTATATATATATATTTTCATATGTATGATATATATGATATTTATTTACCAAAATAACCCTAATCAAATTTTTTGAAAATTCTTATGCAGCATTACCCTGCACACATTCTTGCTAGGTTTCTGTTTTTATACCCTGAACACGTTTAGAATTCAGGATAGAATGAATCTGGGAAAATGTATGTGACAGGCAGAAGTGAGCGTAGCAGATCATATCTGTATTCTTAGTCAGGAGGACGATCTGTATTTTTTTTATATTTTATGTATCAACGCACCTTCCCGCTCAAGGTCTTGTGCTTTGACAACGAAAGCTCCCATTATGTGTGAGTGATTGAAATATCAGATCAGCGCAGGTTTCAAGGTATTTCCTAGTCGATCACTCCCGACTAGAGCACTCTTACTTGCTTTTCATTTACTGCCAAAATATTTACATATGAATGAACTTCGGCTGAAAAATACATCAATAACATAATTTAATATTAATATGAAACGAGCTTTGCGGCATGTTTTCTGTGTGTGCGTGTGAGAATATGTGTGTATGTATGTATATGTGTGTATGAGTGCGTGAGTATGTTCTACTTTGAATGGGAGTTAAGGAAAAGTTCAAGTTAGGAAACTTGACAAATATTTATGAACCTTTTTAAAGGTCTTAAGGGAGTAAATATAAAATGAGAAAAGAAGAATCAAAGAGGACTTAAGAAACAATCAGTGTTTGAATAGCCTAGCAACAAAATATGATAAAGAAAATATACTTTAAAAAAATAAATAAATGGCTTAAATAAAATAAATTGATCATAGAATTTAATACAGATTTACAAAAAATAAGAGAATATTTTTAATAATAAAGAAATGTATAACAAAAAGTAACATTTTTATATTATATAAACAGAATTTTTCGTAAATATTTAATTAATATATTACTTCATTGTGGCATATATATATACAAAACAATATAAATAATTGTAGGGCAGCAGCTCTATTAACTGTATATTTCTTATTGTATTTTAAAATTTTTGCTCTGTTTTTAACATTTTTGTTTGATTTGATTGCTTTGTTTTATTTAAATATATATCAGAATTATTTTTAAATGTATTCCTATAAAATGAAATAGATAAATATTTTTTAAATATTTCATATTGGAAAATGTGAACGTTCATGTCAAATTCCGAAGGTAGTGAATATTGATTAAATTGTTTGTTAGAGAGGTACAAACAGTGACACAGCCACACACACAGCTGGCGACAATGATGTGTGTGTGTGTGGGTATGCGTATATGTGTGTGTGTGTGTGCCTGTGTGAAATGCAGTCACATACTTTTTGGCCCACTCGTCTCTCATATTTTAATTATATCGCCCCTGGCCGAAGTTCACAAATATGTGCAGCAGGGGATAAATAAAAACGCCTGCTGAATATGTTATTGTCATTTTACACTTTGCAGTGACAATTTAATTAAAAAAAATAAAGAGAGACAATTAAGTTAAACAACAACGACAAAGTGTAGCTCCAAATAACTGACAGAGAGAGAGAGAGAGAGAGAGAGAGTTAGAGGGAGAAAGTCAGAGTAAAACACAAACAGCTTTAATGCAACAACCCATCGACATTGTAAACGTTACAGATTTGTTTCACTCTTCAATGTTTTCTTGTTTTCGCATTACATTTTTCATTTTCCTGCTTTTTTGTTGTTTTTCTTTTTTATTGTCGGCTTGCCACACACATTGAAGCAGCGATGCATAACTGACGCGACACCTGAGGGACACACAAAAGAGCCAAAGAACGTTGCACCAAATTTAACAGATTGAAAAGCAAGTCAATAAAACAAAGAGTGAAAAGCACAAAGAGGGAAAAACAAATGATGGGAAAAACAATCAACGATAGTTAAATAAATACATTTACTATTGCCAGCACATTAAAGAGTCAGCAAAGCAAGTGCTCTAATTTCAATTTAATATATTTGATTGAAATAGTATATATAGCTAGGCAATGATATAAGCCTTGAAATAAATAAATTTACAATTATCGTTGTTGTTAAGAATTAACAGATAACATATATAAATTTAACATTTTTTATGTTTAAATAAATTTTATATAATTTTAATTTTTTTTAATTTTATTTGTAAGAGTTCTCCAAAATGATAGTATATTTATATATATATATAATTTTATATATTAATCCATGTGCATTACTTTAAGCTCTTGCATAAAATTGAGCTTAATTAATTGCCTTTGAATAATGTTATCGTAAAATATATTGTTGCAATAAATTTAATCGCAATTATCATTAATTCAAACACTTTTCTCAATCTGCAAGTGCATTAATTTTGCATTTTAACCGTTTAATGCACTTTGCGGTTCTGAGCGCTGCCAAATGCCTTTGTTATTAAATTGTTTATTGTTTTTTCTCCATTTGCCTTGTGACATTGCGGTTGTTATATGTTCCGTTAAATTGGCCGTTGGCCACAATACACGTTCGCATTTTTATTGAGCTTCCTGAATTGTTTATTATCGGGCAATTTTAATGGATTTTCAATTGGAATCAATGCCTTTGTAATACATAGTGGGAGCACAGTGAAAAGTACTTTAATTTTAAATGAATGGCAAGGGATGCAACTATAAGATGCGGGATTAATCTATGAATTATAGAGCAGCTCGCATTATACAATAAAAACAAACAACGTGGAAACATATTTGCGGAGTCGAAGGCCTTAGCATGAAATTGGTATTCAATAAAAATGTTATCTTGTTACACAATTTTATTTTATATTTATTCACATTTTTTTTTATTTAATTTTATACAAAAACAACATTTATGATCGATACATGGAATATGATATGTTAGTAAAATTTGCTAAAATGATAACAGAAAAAGCATAATTTTCTCTGGAATATTGACATTATTATTTAAATTTAAATAATAAATAACATTTTCATTATATTTCGTTTTTATAAGGATATTTTCTGATTCACACGGAATAACAAGTTTTATTGGTTCTTAAAAAAATTCTAGAATATAAACTAAAAGTTGCTTCCAATGAAAATGTTCCATGCTGATACTGTTTAAGAATACAAGTATATATATATATATATATTATATATAATTTATTCCTTATCGACAGTTTTGCTTAGGCAGTTGAGCCAGAAATGATCGATTGTATTATATAAATGCGGCAAGGCATTACCAATGCTATGATTCTCATCAGTATATGTCTAGAAGAGCGAGATCAAATTACAATAACAAATAAATAACTGGTTTTAGCTTGTCATACCTGCTCCTCAAAGGGTATATCAGCACGTTGTAATAGCTTGGCCAAGATCAACGAATGTTGGTAGTGCACATTGTCATCACCTGAGCCATGAATTAGCAAAAAGCCATGAGTTCTAAAGTTATCCAAGTGGCTAAAGGCGTTGCTCTCTTCATACTTGAGCAGATTGTCCTCCACGGTGGGCAAGCCCATGAAGCGTTCCGTATATATCGTATCTGAGTGAAAGGAAAGTCGTATAATTAGATTCATATCTGATAAGTTATAGAGGCATGTATAGGTTACCATAGTAGAGCCAGGAGGTAACTGGCGCCACGGACACACCGCATTTGAATATATGACTATTATCCATTTCCAGGGTTTTTGCTGTCATATATCCGCCATAGCTCCAGCCCCAGATGCCTGTGCGATTGGCATCGACGAAGGTGAGGTTTTGTTGCAGCCAGTTGGTGACAAATAGCTGATCCTCCACTTCATGATCACCCAAATCATTGTTCACAGAGAACAACAGTCGTTTGCCCTTATTTCCCGTGCCACGCCCATCGATGTAGGCGTAAATGGTCTGCCTTTTGGTAGTTACATAGGCTTCGTAGCCCACAGTGAACGCATTTGTTACACGCACCGAATTGGGTCCGCCGTAGACAACAACAATCATGGGATACTTTTTGCTCTCATCGAAATTAGGTGGCAACGCCAACTTGGCAATGCCAGTGCTGCCATCTGCCAAAGAGACGTTGATAAAACGATACGTGGGTAGCTGCTTGGTCGTCAACTGTTCACGATAAAGACTATTCAACTCCCAGTCCACGACCTTAGTGTGTGTGGCCGAACGCCAGACTTGAGTATAGGAGGGATTGGGACCCGAGCAGGTGAGTGTGTAGTAGGAGAAATCTTTGCTAAATGTGGCACTAGCCGAACGGCAAGTGGTACCGTCCGCATCCACTACGTTGCAGCTCAGGCAATCGTTGTTGCTATACACATGATATTGAGCCGGATCACCCTTCTGAGTGGCCTGGTAATAGCTGGAGAGAAATGAAGGGATATGTATATTAAAGAACTTTTATATAATAGTGGGATACTTCTCTTAATTAAAGTTATTATTGGCCTGAATCTATGTAAGAGATATAAGAAGACTGAGAGGAACTCGATAAATATACTTTGTACATGGTTTCGGGTATCTTTAAGTCAGACACTCCCGACTAGAGCACTTTTTTCTCAACAGATTGTCATTGGTTAGACGAAGAGGACTCATACAATTTTGCATTGGTTATATCTTATCTAGGCGAAGACAAAGAGATAGAACTGACGGGTTCTTGAAATAGCTTTATATATTATTGATGATTGATGATAGTGAACTGATACATGAAAAACTGATTGATAATATGTGTACTATAAACCATAGGTGCCATCCACTAGTCATGCATAGATACAACTACTTTAGGTCATAGACTATATAGTTAGAGGTAGCATATATGCCAAATACTTACAGCTTATCGTTGACTTCATCATAGCCATAGACATTGAGCACAGTGAATTCGCCTCGTGACTTCCAGCTATTGACGCCCGTTTCCAAATTGAGATTCCACACCTGATACCAGTTATCAATGAAGTAGGCAAAGATGCAGTTCAGGCCACTCTTCAGGCATTTGGGCGTGCTGATGTCCACCCAGCCATCGGGCTCCTCAATCCTTGTTACCTCCTTGCACACACCCTGATGGCTGCAGCTCTGTATCGTCGATAGATTCTGGCGACGATTCATCCAGTTGATGAGCAAATGACTATTGTTTGACCAGACCACATTCTGGAGTATGTGATCGGAGCTGACAATGCCCACGGGTGCTTCGATGCGTTGCATAATGGGATCGTTGTTGGCCAGATCATAGACACGCAAGTAGACAATCGGATTGGGTGTGCCGCTCTTTGGATACTTCAGGTTCTCCTCATGCGGATACTGATAGTATTCATTTTCCGCATCGCCATAGAGAAAATATCTAAAGGTCTCCACTTTGGTATCATTGAAGAAGCCCACGGCCAGCTTAGTGCCATCCGGTGACCACCAGAGGGCGCTGCCACTGCTCAGGACCTCCTCCTCATAGACCCAATCGGGCACACCGTTATACACGATGCCATCTCTGCCATCCTCAGTGATAGCTATCTCCAGATTCCTATTGAAATGGATGTGCACATTGTTCTGATAAACATAGGCCAATCGATCCTTGAGCGGCGACCAGCCGCAATACTGCAGCTTCTCGCCCTTGTGTATCTTGACCGTTGTGTTCGTTGCTATATCATAGACATCGTATTGGGCCACATACGAGTGCCGGAACTTCTCTGTCAAATTGTGGCGTACCAAAATTTTGGTATTATCCGCAGAGAGCGTAAATGTGGCGCCAACGTACGTGTTCTAAGGGCGTAATTGCGACTATAAATATTTTCATAATTTCATTTAGTTTATTTTGAAATAAATACCAAAAATGTTGATTGCAAAAAAATGGTATCTTCCTTTGTGGCTGCATTGTATTTGTGTATAGATCGATCAGTGGCCGTATAATAGAACTCCTGATCTGTAAATGGATTGAAGCTGTTGTTAGTAAAGGTATAAAGGTGAAATATTTTTAAAAATAATATTTAAAAGTATAAACAAACGAAAAGAAGTTTAGAGCCAGCATAAAATTGGTTAAGCTAATTAAGTTAGCTAGAAACACATGAGCAATGTTTTCTATTGTGTTCACAAGCTCGAGCAGCTGCCGTGATTCAATAAATGGCTTACAAATCGTATTACCCGCATCTTAAATCACCTTCAGATCTTGAATACTTATCACAAATTGTTGCTCAATTTGAAGCTTTTGTAGTTGCTATACAGTTCGTCGTTATCACCAGGCAATCCGCTAACAATGGCTGGAGCAACAATTAACTATTGCGTAATGCCTTGAACCACTTTATATTCAAAACCCATTTCTAAGTGCTTTATGTGTGGCCTCCTTTGTGATACTGGTGCATGTGTAATATCTTAATTGAGTTTCTAAACTTGCACTGAAATGTTAAAAGTTCTCAACTTTTTTCCGCTACTTTTAAAGTTCTGTTTTTAGCTGCACTAACAATATTTTTAGCTAATTAATAATACACTTGAAAATAAGTTTTAAGTTATTTCCGGGCAATTTCTTTTTCAATTTAAACAAGCTTGTTATATATATTATTTATTATTACAGTATTATATTTAGCAAAAAATAATTTTATAATACTTAAAACTAACTTTACCTAATTTATATCTGTAATTATTTACCAAGAAAATGTGTTGGAAACTAATTGAACTGAAACATTAAATATAATATTCATTAAAAAGGCTAAACAAATATATTTTAAATTTATAATAATATAAATCTAAAATAATTGTACAATATGTTTTTTTGATTGCCTGTTTATTTTTAAACATATTTTTAATATTCTTTAGTTGACTTCAATTTTCCATAAAAACAAACAAGCGAACAAATAAATTGTGTTTAAAATCTTAAATAGTATACAATAATTTAATATTTAATTTAATATTTAATAATAATTTAATATTTTCTACAAATAATAATAAAAATAATTAAATAAAATTTATAAACTAAACAAAATCAAATAAAATATTAAAACATAAAAATTAATTAAAAAGATTTTTTACTTCCTGTATCGCTCTCTCTCTCTCTCTCCTTCTCTTAGCATACAGTGTTAACGTTGTTTAACATATAATTTGTTATCATAAATAAATAAATCTTTTTATTTTCACTCTTAATTTCAATAAACATATAAACAAATGCAAAACTTGCTCAATAATCCGAGTTAAAAATACTTGCAAAACCTGTTCGAATGACTTGCAAAATTTAGATTTGTTAGGCTGCAATTGTTGGCTAAGTCATAAGTATATCAGCATTGGCATCATTATTAATAGCAGCCGATCTCTCCTTTTTCTATTTTATAGACTTATCTATATAAATGAACAATGATAGCACTAAGAATAACAGTTTGCACTTGAGGTTATCTCATAGTCGAGAGAGCTCGATTGTTCAAGTAGATATAGCAAAATCTGACTTGAATTAAGAGTAACGACAATTTAAGAGAAATAGAAGCAAGACCCATAAGAGCTTCAGGTACTCTGTATTTAGACCAAATATAAACAGGTTTAATTAGATAATAAACAATAATTCGATTGCTTGAGTCGAGATAAGCAAAGATAAGATACGTTTGAAAGAGCATAGAGCGTGTGTTAAACAAAGTAGTTTGGTTAGATTATTATTATTTAGGGTCTACAGATATAGCACTTGATAGGGTATAACTCGTGACTCAAGGCGACTAAGCGAAAAGCAAGGAATTGGCAGAAAGATAGAAAAGAAAAAAGGCACTTAAATAGAAGGGAATTTCTTGAAATTAACTAGAATTTAGGAAAGTCCATATAAGTTTAAAAATAATAGTTTTTCGTAATTTATTATTATATTTCTATTATTTTGTTTTCTTTTACTATTTTATTTTTTCTTTTCTCTATAATTTTTGCGATGTTTAACACCTTTTAATGCCTGATTTATATCTATTAATATATAATAATATATTGTATAAAAATAAATATTATTTTAAATTTTTTAGGCACAAAAGCTTGACTTATATTTTTTTTATTTATTTTTATTTAATTTTTGCTTTGTAAAATGATAATAATTTTCTATAGTTTTTTTTAGCTGTTTTAGATTTATTTATATTGTGTATATTTTTTTATATTTTAAATATATATATATATATAAATAATATATATAAATTATTTTATTTGACCAAAATATAAGTTCCAGATTAATGTGGACATAAAATCGAAAAAGTACACAACATTTAGCCTGTCTATAGATAGCTACATTAATCAATGCTATAGCATAACAGGGAAATGACCTCAACGGAATTATTCTATTCAGCTCACGCGTCATTGTCATTGCGGGGACTCTCCCTACAAAGACGCGGCTTGGCACGGCGCGGCGATAAGCTGCGCTTGAATTGCTTTGTGGGTTAAGCCGACAGCTTAAATAATTCCCAGCGTGCTGATAACAAGGAGAAAAAGAAGCAGCAGCAGCAGCAACAGCTGCTGCAGTAGCTCACCTGTTATCCACGTGCCATTGAACCCGCGCAGACCAGAGGTGCCATAAATAGCAGAGATGAGCTCCCACGGCGTCTTCTCATCAGCTGTTGGTAATTTGATGATCGCGGCGTGTGACAAGCCGAACGCGCATAGCAGTAGCAGCACGACAACATTCATTTTACAACACAATACAAACAACTACAACAGAAGCAGCAGCAACAAAACCAACAACAACAACAACAGTGAGAATACAAATCAGAAACTCAGAAAAAACGAAAGTGAGAAGAAACGACGACAGCGACTCAAGCAAGCTACAGGCGCAGCAGCTCGCTGCGACTCAACAACAGAATTCGAACTGAAGCCAAAATCGATGTTAACATTCAGTTAAATATGTTAAGAATGTTAACTAACATTCGCTGCAGCGACTTAATTCATCGGAGAGCCGAGCGCCGCAAAAAAAAAAAAAATACCCGCCTTCGATTTAATTTGATAAGTGAATTGGGCTGTTCTACAAATATACGGAATTATTTATTAATTATATTTGGCAAATCACTTTTATGTTTAGCAGCTGCTGGGTAGTCGACACTTAAATACCCTGTATAATTCATTTAAGTAGTGTTAAGTCTATTGTGACAATTCATTTGAGTTGAAGACTTGACTATAATACTCAGTATATATATATATATATATATATACATACATATATATATAATCTATGCATACCTTAGCTTACATGTAATTTATCTGTAGGGTATAATTGACAATAAAATTGAACAAGATTGTTATGAAATGTTATTTGTGATTATGCTGTTATCACGAATCAGCTTATGAGAGCTACCAGCAGGATAGTCGACCTAAAAATACCCTACATATATAATATATACTTATATACTTATTTAACATTTAATTAACATTGAATTTTCCTGTCAGTGTTGAAAGACACAGAAAGATTCATACTACAGAAAGTGAAGTCAAATAGTTATTAAATTAAGTCCATTTAAATTTTGGTTGGCCATACAACGCCTCCACCAACTCCCACGAACTCTTCCCAAGAATTCCGCTTGGAAGTAAAATTGACCATGCAAGGAATAGCGCATTGAAATGTATTTGCATATAATTAATTAAGCGTGCAATAAAATTACAAAATAGATCAAATAACATGGAAATTTCACAAAGTATAGAATCATTAATGCAGAAAGTAAACCTTAGTGTCAGCCGGGTCAAAGCTAACTGAATATTGCTCCAATGAAACTTTAATAAGAAAGTGTAGAGCACATTTTACTATTTCATCAAGCAAATTTTTTAATATCATTAAAAATGGTCATTAAATTGTTAGATGCTAGGCAGAAAGGTTAGATATCAATATACCCTATAAATAATAACTGAATAAAGTGTGTTCATTTGACTATGTAAAGAATTCAATTTATGTTTTTTTATATAACATTGAGGGTAGTCCCAAAAATGTTCACCTTAACTAATTTAATAATATTAACTTTATTAAAATGTCGTTTTGTTTCCTAGTTTTTATTTTTAATTTTTTTGGACATTTTTATATTTTTATTCAACTAAAGTTATCAAATATTTTTTTATTTATTTTATGTTTTTTATTAATTTTTTACATATTTGTTTTTGTATCCTTCCAATTTCTTTTATCTGCAGTTTGAGTTTGCATATTTTTCGGACTCCCCTCGCAGCTATACACTGCGCGTCATCAGAATAGCGCCGCCTACTACGTTAATTTTAAATAATATACGTGTCACACGAGCGATGGTTGTATAATGTTCTTAGATTCGACTCTGTTTTATTCAAATTTAAGGAGTATCAATTCAGTAAACATTAAAAAAAAATATTTAAATAAAGCTTACACAAATGGTTGAGATAAATGGTGTGCTTGATCATGATAAGCAGGTGCTGAACTCTGTTAGTATCCATAGTACAATTAGTACTGTATCTTGTCTCAGTCTCCATGGTATATATATGTTCATAGATCATCTTTAGAACTTTTGTAGTTAGTCGACATTTAGCTCTCTATCAGAAAGCTAAACGAAAGAAAGTGCTAAGTTAATATATAAAAGACAGTTTATCTAATACAAGGATCTATTATCTATTACGATGACAGAATTGTGGAGGCTGAGAGTTGGTACCGCAAAACTTGTGTGAACTCATAAAAAGATATATTATAATATATGTAGTATCTAGAAATCAATATGATCAATAAATGTAAAAATAAATTTCAGAATAATGTAAACTTCATCTGATCTATATACTATATATTTATTTGATTTTTTAATATAAACTGAAAATATTTTTGTTTTTCTTTCCTCTTTTTTCTAATTATAAATTCCTTTTCAAGTTTTTTTTTTTACATTCTTTATTAAGAGTTATGCTTAGTGTTATAAACAGAGTTTTGTTTTTGTTTTTTTTTTTTTTTTGTTTAAGAGAGTACTGATTAAAACATATAGTACGGACATTTAAGCAATAAATTGCAATCGATCGAAACGACATTAATGCAGTGAAGCAATGAATTTTGATCATTTTGTCGCCTTAGATTCTACAAATTTCAGTTACATCTTAAATTTGTAGTACATTAATTATTATTTTTTTTTATTTTTTTGACTTATGACAACTAGTTTAAGTGGTAAACATAGAACGCTACCGGGGCTCGGGCTATATTGAATTTAAAGTTTTATTTATTTCCTTTCCTTTCTTTCTTTTACTGTGGCGGCTGCTGCTGTTGCAGGTGTGGCAATTGCATGACACGCGCTAAAATATGCGCCTGCTGCTCCAAGCATTTGGGAAAGAAGGTCTGCAGCAGCTCCAGCTTGCGTTCCTCTAGCTCCAAACGCTGTCGAGAGATTTTCGTTTGCTCTGCCAACAATTGGTTCTTGCGACGTACTTCCTCCATGTACATGGACTCCAATGAATCAGCGGCTGGCGGATTGCTGGAACCGAAAGGTCTGCCACGCTTGCGTGGCGTCGGTATTGGCGTTGCCAGCGCACTGCTGTTGCAACTGTTGCTGTTGTTGCTGTTGCTGCTGCTGGCAGCAGTCAGTGCCGGCGGTTGCATATGACCGCCGTTGCTGTTGTTTGTTGCCACGCTGATGGTGTTGTTGGTGCTGTTGATGTAGGCAACAGCTGTAATAGCCTGATGATTGATACTGGATGTTGCTGCAACATTGTTGCTGCCGCTATTGTTGCTGCTGCTGTTGTTATAGCTGCCTGCATAGCTAGCTGAGTCATAGCCAGATTGAAATTGTTGTGGTTGTTGTTGCTGCTGATGCTGCTGATGTTGTTGTTGCTGCTGCTGATGTTGCTGCTGCTGCTGCTGCTGCAGTTGTTGTGGCGTTTGCAGCTCCAACAGCTGTGCGGGCTCCGCTGGTGAATACTGTTGCATTCGCTCCTGAAATGGCATCGAACGATAGTCCTCATCATCGTATTCCTGTTTGATATCGTCATATTGATCCGTAAACAGTTCCGTATTGAAGCTCATTGAATTGTTGTTGTTGCTGCTGCTATTATTGTTATTATTGTTGCTGCTACTGTTGCTATTATTGTTGCTGTAATAAGTATTAGGCGTTGGCTCAGCTGGTAAATTCAGCACCGACTGCTGCTGCGGGTGTGTTTGCTGTTGCTGCTGCGGGTGCTGCTGCTGTTGCTCCTCTTCGCGTGGCGGCGAAACATCTCGATTATTAAGCAACACATCTGGCGGCAATGGCTCAGCATTCTTCGGCCTGTGTAGGTTTTTCAATATACGATTGATTAAGTCATACTTTTTCCAGCGCAATGGATAACTCGATGGATCGATCTGCAGCTGCTTCTTCACTTGACTGCAAGGCACAAGAATTTCTCAATTTTCAGTTAGATCAACAAAAAATTGTATTACAAAAACCTACCGAAATTTAGCCCTTGTCTGATTAACCTTCATTTGAATTTCCTCTGGCTTTACGTCTACGGCGAAACGTTCGTGCAGCTCCTCGGACCATTGACCAAAATAAACGGTATTTTTACCGTTGCGCGTGAGACGCCAATTGTCTCGGCCCCATATCTCATAGAGGCGCTCCTCCTCGCTGGGTGTCCAATATCGACGCGCCTTTTCCTTGGACTTTACCTCCAACAGGTCCTGGCTGCCGCACATAGTTGCCTCCGTTTCAACGTCGGCGACGTTCGGATTCAGATTCGGATTTGTGCTCGCAATCACGTTCGCATTTGCAGCGCCGGCCGCAGCGCTCCCTCCACCAAGATTCACGGACAAATTTTCGTAGTCCATGCGAACGCCAGGACTCAGCTTTTGCCTTTTTCGAATTGATATCGAAACAGTTAATAATTAGCTCAGCGCTGCATTACCTTAATGCATTTCTACAATGTTGTGCCACATTTATTAAACACTAGCTTCACTTTTTCGCATAGAAAATCAACAACTAGGGATGGCTGCATCTATCGATTGGTATACGCAGAAAAAAGTCGATATGTACATTTTCGATAGCTTACTGGCAATAGGTATGCAGCAATTTTTTCGCTAACAAGCATTGAAGCAAGTTTAATATTGAATGCTAAGTATTTAACGGAAATAAAGTTCTTTTATATTTTATACAGCAAAAGTTATTTATTATATAAATAAATATCGGTAGTTTTTCCTTAATGTTCCAAAACTCCCATCAATAACAATGCAATGTACACATAAGAGTGAGACCTTTGACTTGCTAGCTATAAAATCCATAAAATAAAATACGAAGATAAATGTGAATAAAACTAGTTTGGTATATAAATCATTTTTATTAACTATTATGAATTGAATACCCAAATAAAACATAAAAATAAATTCAATATAGATAAAATTAAAACAAACAAAGTTAATCGAGTTAAATATATATTATGTATATAATCAAATAAATAAATACAATCAAATAAACATTGAAGAAATTGTATCAAAATAAAAAATAAATATTCTGTTTAAATGTAAGACTATACATTGAAATAAAAGACGTTTTTAAATAAGAAATAATCATAAGAAAATATTTATAAAAAATCAGCAATCCGATATATCGATAGTAAAACATCTTCAACTTGTCACATCGTTAAGAAATACCAATCAATGCACATCTCTATTAGACATTTGGTCAATTGCAATTTGATGAATTTTCAAATGAAAAACACTGCATAAACCACATGAGAATAACCTAAGATAAGGAAATGAGTGATCCAGAGAATGAGTCGAAGCCTAATAAGCGCGGACCCAAACATATGCGACTGCGCTATTATACGTCCTATGAGGAGGCCACAATTGTGAAGTTGTGGCGCGAGCACTTGCAAGAAATCACTTCGTACACGGAGAATTTGGCAATATTTCGAGAGATTGCCTTTGGACTGCAACAGCACCGCATAAGGCTGAATAAGCAAGAAGTGCGACGACGCATTAGCAGTTATCGCAATAAGTATTTGTGAGTAAATATATATGGTTTGATTGATATAAAAAAAGAGTCCATACTAATCTCGTGCCCCATTGCAGAGTCGAACGCAGTCGCTATGAAAGCGATCCACAGTACAAATCAGATTGGCGCTTGTATAAACTTGTCGACTGCCTCTTCCAGTCGGCAGCAACTGCCACGCCACTCGTCATAACGGAACGGAAATGGATTGAGGATTTAGAATCGAAAATCCGTATCGAATTGCCCACGTTGCCTCGCTTCAATCGCCACGATTGCAGGACGCTGAAATTCGAAATGGATCCGAACGGCTGCCCCTTCTTTGAGGGTCAGGCAGCCGCTGCACAGGTGAAGGCTGAGGTGCCTACAATGTTGGACTCACCCAAGCCAATAATAAAGACTGAAATGAAGACAGAAATGGAGCCACTGCAGTCAATGCAAACAGAGAAACGTTCGCCCTTAACGCCCGCCAATCGTACACTAGAACCACAATTGCTATCGCAACAATCGCCCGGTCTGGAGTTCGGCCAATCCACGGTGCGCCGTTCCCGTCGTCGTAGCATAATGCCACGCACGGGCCAAATAACATTAGCACAAATCGAAAGATTGCGCAAAGAGAATCAAATGCTAGCCGAGCAGCGGGACGCGAATCTGGCGGATTTGGCTTTGAAGGAACGCGAATATCAGCAGTTGGAGCAAACGTTTGACTTTTGGCTGCATCAGCAGGAAACGTGGATGACCTACCTAGATGAGCGTGGCGTAAAGTAAAACTGATAGTCCCCTTTCTAGTCTATAAGTTGACAATTAACTGGGTTAAAGTTGAATTGCTTCTTAGCTTTCATTTCGCTTTCCTTTTTGCGTTCCGGTTCTTCGGATTTTCCCTTGTTCAAATTAGTGATTAAGAAACTAAAATAAGTTGGCAATTTTATAATTTTCTTTTTTTAAAATGAAAGTAAGAGAATGATGGAACTTATATAGATCGTAAATATAAAAATAAATTTAAATTACGTGCTTTAAGCAATTTGCAATTGCAGCTTTCATCTCTAATCTATCGATTTTTGGAACATAACGATTGCTGGTATTTATTAGTATTTTGTGTGGTATTTTGATGCTCACTAATGTATAGTCACACTGAAGCACAATTGCACATTGCGTTTAGCTGAAAGTAATTTGTTTAATTAAAATGAATAAGCAATTAATAACAAATTCAATACGCATATTGCGCATAGGCAGCGGTATAAAATATCAAGCGCCCGTCCTTACAACAGTGCGTCAATATGGTGAGTGAAGCGGCAGAGCGTGACAGACATCATCAGCAATTGCATAGATTTCATAACAGCCGGCAACAAAAACAAAAAAAAGAAAACATGATATCGATATCTCTTACTCCTCCATTAGCCACACCGCCGAAACGTTTTTATAAGTCTACAAATGTGATCAGCACAGATGCCGGCTATGAGGTGACATTGGATCATCGCAAGCTGAAGACCCCTAACGGCACATTGTTTACGGTGAAGAGTGAACCCTTAGCCATAGCTGTAGCCACCGAATTCGATGCCCAAAAGGAACATATCGAACGTTCTCGCATGCACATTTCAGCACTATGCTTTACGGCTATCGATAATCCTAATAAGCTGACGAAACCCGATATGGTTAATTATCTGCTAAATTTCATACCCACCGATACTGTGTTATTCCAATATGATGTAAGTTAATCGATAACCGATCGATAATTGTTTCTAATCCGTTGAATTTCTCACGCAGAATGAACAGGATCTGCAGGAGCTGCAGCATAATGAATGGGATCCCGTTATCGACTGGTTTAATCAGCGTTTCGAGACGAATCTGCAAAAAACTATGAACATAACACCACCTCAAGTCAGCAGCGAGGATAAAATGAAAATTGCCAAGCACTTTCACTCGTATAACTTGGAAACCCTTCATGGTAGATTGATAAATTCCTCGATTTCTTATACTTTTTGTGAACAATTTGTGTTTTAGGTTACATTTTTGCTGTGGACACGCTGAAATCTATTGTGCTGGCCTGCGCTGTAATTGAGCAGAAGATTACAGTGGAAAAAGCGGTGGCACTTTCCCGTCTTGAGGAGGAATACCAGCTCAAATTTTGGGGACGCGTTGAATGGGCTCACGATTTCAGCCAACAGGAGCTGCAGGCACGCTTAGCTGCCTCAGTGCTTTTTGTGCACCTTAATTGCTCCGAAAACCTTATCAAGCAAAAGTCGATATTATAAAATATTGATATTTAAGGAAAAAAATTTGTTTTGCTGACCGCTGTGAAATTTAATTATACAATATCGCTTAGCCGTTAAATTATAGCTATCTGGCAACGCGAGTGCATAAAGTAAGCAGTCCAAAGATGTGGTGCACTGCTTGTTCATAGATGTTTCCAATCTGCAATGAATTCGTCAAACTCATGCAAGCAGTTAACACAACTGCTATATGACCATCTCATTTACACAACTGTGCCTCCAACTAGAATTTCATTCAAATGGTCTAATGTTATTTACAGTCACAGTACATGCCCAATTACTTGTAAGCGATGCGAACGAGTTCTATCTCGGTTACCGAGCTCTGGCGCCAAATTGCTTTCCATTCAAATGCTGTGACGCAGCCTTAACTGTGGGACTAAAACGTAAACAAGACAAGTTGCGGGCATAGCGCACGTTACCATCGAAGAACAAACGATGTGCAAACCGTGTGCTTTAGGTTTATTGAAGTTTGCTCTCGCGTATTTTCTTGCGCCCCTTTCATTTCATCTATTTGTATGTGCGCGTGTTTATATGTTTAAGCATGCACACGGCTTTCTCAATTCATAGTTGTACAGTTAGTTAGCTTTGCTTTTTTTATATTTTAGGCTGTCAATCTTATCTCGTTGTCCGTCACTTATCTGCTATTTGCTTTCAGTTTTATCGCTGCTGATCTCTAGCTGTGTCTTCGCAGCTTCGCTTTCGACATATCCACTTGATCCATAAGAAACGTATACAGTTGATTGAGAGCGTTTCCATTGTGAAGTCGAATTTAAAGTTATATTTTGTGTGTTGTTTCTTTACCTTCTTTTTGTATTTTGTGCGCATTTTGTTATTGTATAATAATGTCGAAAACTGAAGGCACGCCGATTGTGACGTAAGTTTTTCGAGGGATGCAGGCTGCAAGGCACTGCAGTGAAAAAGTTTGCTGCAAGAGTTTTTGCATTATGCGAAGAAAAAATTCAAGTAGAAAATCTTAGCAAATTAACATAAAGAGCAGCAAAGTCGCCAAATGAGCTGCTGATTTGTTAAATAGCCGTAAAAGCGCCCGACCGTGGGATCCTCGACAACTGTCAGAGGTGTGAAAAGGCCTCGAAAAAGTTCGCTTGCCAAAGAACGAGACTTCAAGTAGAAGAGTAGCAGAGTTGTATCTGTAGCTGCGGCTGTAATAGTAGTAGTAGCAGTAGTAGTAGTAGTGCAGTAGTAAGTGAAGCTGTAGCTGCAAAGAAAATACTCACTTCATCTCACTTTTTTTTGCTGCTGCTTTCTTTCTACTCCTTTTTGTTGCTGCTGCAATTGCGTTCCAAACTTGCAGAGCAAGTAGTTTAGCGCCATTTGCACTTTTCGTAGTAAAAATTACGCGAGCACCCACACACACACACACACACAGACAGCAAACTTATCAACGGCCACATCATACACATTCACATGTGTGATGAAGTTGGGCGCGAAGGCGTGGCATTAAGTAGTCGCCCGTAGTTTGGGTTAAGTAACAAAACTTCAAATTGAATTTTTCGCTGCAGTTTTCATTTTAGCACCTATCACAAAAAACCCCTTTCATGCCACGCTCTCTTATACTCACGCTCTCACTCCTGTTCGCTTTGTTTTTTTTTTATTCCCGCTGCTCATTACGCGCTTTACTGTTGGAGAGAGGTTAGAGTGTGTGCATAGCAAGCGTTTACATTGTGTTGGAAAAGTACCGTACTTGGCAGGCGATTTCATTCTCTATTGTTGTTCTATTTCATTTTCGTTTTTTTCTGTGGAGTAAGTTGTGCCTCTTATGCTAAAAATAAACAAAGAAAACAATGAAGAGCATAAGTAAATCGTTAAGTGCGATCAGTCGCTTGTACACACTCAAACATAACATACTTATGCATACATAATGTATTATATTGCTATCTCACTCTATTGCAGTCGCTCACATAATTACGGCACAGCACCAGCACTGCCGAACATGGAAGCAGGCAATGGTAATGGCAATAACAACAATGCACCAGCGACACCTTCACAGATTTTCTGTTTGCATGGCCGCTCCAACAATATCGAAGTTGAAGGTAAGCAAGGTGGACAGGTGGGCTGCGTTGATAAACTGCGGCACTTTCCGTGTCGCTTTCAATCAGCGCGCAAAGCAATTTGCAGTCATTCATAAATTATCAAGAAATCGCAGCAAAGCAAATGCCAAGCAAACAACAAACATTGCAAAAAATCGGAAACACGGGGCTGGGGGGAGAAAAACAACTGTAGAAAATTAGTTTTCACAGCATTTTTCGTCAAGTTGAATTGTATTTGTTGATTGTTGTTCAGTTGAGTTTGAAAATCGAAAATTTTGCACAATTTGTGTGTTATTACACGGTAATGCGCGCTAATTGGCAGACGGCACGGAAATGGAAATGAACGATGAACGTGTTTATCGACAGACGACAACGACGCTGATGACAACAACGACAACAACGAAAATGTTGACGAAGTCATTGCCATGTCTCGAGAAGGTCTTGCTGCCTGGCTTCGGTAAGCACATATCTCACTCTCTCAACACCCACGCAAATACAAACACAAACACACACACACACACAGCGAGAGACTGTGGCCAACGCCTTGTCATCAATCAGTTGATGATTTTTCAACGATTGCAAACTTTGGTCGCAATTTTGCTGGTAAACAGCAGCAGCAGCAGCAACCGAAGGAGCTAAAGGAGCAACAGCTGCAGCAGTAGCAGCAGCGGCAGCAGCAGCTGCGTCTGCGGGTTATAATCAAAATTTATGCTTGGATCGCCGCTCGACTATTGTCATATGCCATAAATTGCGAGAACTGGGAACATAATTTACGTATGACAACGAGGCCAAAATAAATGAATGGCTCATTTTAAATACCCTGTGCTAACAATGCAAATTGACTAAGGAATGTGGGGTATATTGGTTATATAACAACTTGTGTTAGAGCAGCTAGAAAAAAGGCAAGACAAGCGCCATATGCTTGACACACTTTGGTACCCTGTAATAGGCGTCAAAGGGTGTATTAGTTTATGAGCCATGTGTGATAGCTATGGAAATCAAATGTATGTTAAAAACTTTTATAGCACATAAAAGACACAGAAACAGGAGATAAGCGCAATAAGGGATCAAATCAGAGAAGCTGTACAGGGTATTTGCAAGTCAAGTCGATTGTCTTAACAGATTTTTTATGCATAAAATACCTCAACTTTATTAAGTTTACCATAGGCACAAGGTAAAACGAGGTGAGATCAGTGTAGCTATTTACAGGGTATTACCAAGTCAACGAGACTGTTTTATTTAACTGTTTTTTTTTTTTTACATAAAATGACCAAAGTTGGGCTTTTTATCGAGCCTTACGTATCGATTTATTTTTAATTTGGAGAAATGAAGTTTCAAAATTTAAGATCATATATATAATATATAGGGTATTTTTAAAAAAATTGTAGTAGCAGAAGTTAATAACATCGATAACTACTAATTAATTAGTTCAACTGTATATTACAGGGTATTTCCTGCTCGACTTTAGCTGTCTTCATTCGCTCCATTACCTATAAACTACAGGGTATTTCCTGCTCGACTATCGCACTCTTGCTGTCTTTTTTTGATAAGGCAAATGGCCAAAACTATGAACTTTGTGCGCCGCAGTTGTCGTCCAGTCGAGCAGCGCTTCGTGCGCTGCTTCGATCGACTCTGAATTTTAATTTCCTCTTCGATAAGTCAACAGTGGATGGCGCAGTGTACAGCATTCTTCTTCTTCTTCTTCTTCTGGCTCTGTGCAGTGCGCTGATTGGATTTATTGGCAGAGGAACGACCTTAAATGACATTACGTCATGTCTAGACAGAGTTCCTCGTCTGTCGAACCTTCACGCCTTTTGGCCAATATCAGCAATCAGCTGCTGCAGCTCAATCTGTTGCCCAACCATGTGCAGCACCATTTGCATCTAACAAGCGTTTGCATAACTGCCGAGCTACCTGTATTATCCCCAATTACCTGTGCTACCTGATTGCAACTTACTAACTAGTTAAACGCGAACCAGATGCGACGTCTTTTAGCTCTATTGTTAACTGAACGCTGTTAAGTGAATTGTCAAGTTACAAGTGCGAAGGTGCAACAGGTCTATGATGTATTCTGGCATACCCTGTAAGGACCTGGAATGATTGTTAGATAAGTAGAAAGTATTAAGAAAATGGCAAATGTTTTTATTCTTTTAATAATTTCCAAATTTGCTGAAAGGCGTATAATTCATATGAGTGTTATATACAAAATGTATACCCTATTATTCAGTCTTACTTTAAAGCTTAAATTGCTTTAGTTGTATAAGTTGCTATTGCTCAAACATTTTTCCCTGTAAAGAACTTTTCGTTTCTCTGCTCTCATTGTAACCATATATCGCTTTTCTATGCGCTTCTCACATATTGCAGTTTTATTTGTAACACTTTCATTCTGCAAAAAAGCTAATCAATAATGTGCCTTATGGAAGTAACCAACTTCATAATGTTTGATATCGTTCTAAAAGATCTTCTAAATCTATTTGCAAATCGCTTTTATCAGTTATTTTTTGCTCATCTTCAATTTTTGACTTGAGATGTATTCTAAATCCAATAAGCGGATCAAAGAATTATTATGGAAGCTATATGATTATCCTATGTGAAATCCAGAAACAAAGCGATCTGAAGTACTACATTTTTGGTTAAGCTGATGATTAGATGAAGTCCATAGGTCCATTATCTCCCTAGGCTCTAGTTGAAGTACAGTAGAGGATACAGTTTTAATCAAGTTTTGACTGCTTTGAAACTGGAAATGATATACACAAGTTATACCTATTCTTTGGATTTCTAAGTCTCTAATATCAATAGACTTATAAGTAATACCGTTAGGATAATAAGTTATAAGTGCCTTAAATTAGCGATATTCTAGCTGAAAAAGAGGCGAAATGCCTTGTCTATTTGTATATTATGCAGATACAGATACAGATCAACGCCGAATATACCCCTCTTAACAACTCGAACGAGTATAGCAATTAGTTGA